AGCAAGCGGGACTGGCCTAGGGGATTTTATAGGGGTTTTAATTACTTTTAATTGGACACTTTCAAATATTTCGTTTTAATTAAATTTTAATTAGGTGTAATATGTATTTATGTTAGCTTTTTATCATTTGTCAGCCGCCCTGAGTCCGAAAGGAGAAGGGCGGGATATAAATGCAATTAATAATAATAATAATAATAAATAGTTTAACGAAGAGAAGGACGAGGGGGGACAGGATAGCAGCCTTCCAGTATCTCAGGGGCTGCCACCAAGAAGAGGGAATCAAGCTATTCTCCAAAGCACCTGAAGGCAGGACAAGAAGCAATGGGTGGAAACTAATCAAGGAGAGAAGCAACCTGGAACTAAGGAGAAACTTCCTGACGGTTAGAACAATTAACCAGTGGAACCACCTGCCTCCAGAAGCAGTGACTGCTCCAACACTGGAAGTTTTTAAGAAGAGACTGGACAGCCATTTGTCCGAAATGGTATAGGGTTTCCTCCCTGAGCAGGGGGTTGGACTAGATGACCTTCAAGGTCCCTTCCAACTTTACTATTATTATTATTATTATTATTATTATTATTATTATTATTATTATTATTATTATTATTATTATTATTATTAATCAAGGAGAGAAGCAACCTGGAACTAAGGAGAAACTTCTTGATAGTGAGAACAATTAACCAGTGGAACAACCTGCCTCCAGAAGCGGTGAATGTTCCAACACTGGAAGTTTTTAAGAAGAGACTGGACAGCCATTTGTCCGAAATGGTATAGGGTTTCCTGCTTGAGCAGTGGGTTGGACTAGAAGACCTCCAAGGTCCCTTCCAAAATTCTGTTATTCTGTTAAGGCCCCCAGTCCCCCACCAGCTCTTTGTAGCCAAGGGACAGAGGGGGTCCCTGGTATTCTCTGAGCTTGCTTGTTTTCTTGCAGACGTTTCAGGACCCGACAAGGTAACGTCATCAGTGCTAAAAAGGAGTGCTGGGGGGGGGAGGTCTTAGAAATGCGTTACTTGGGCTGTTTACTAATGGCTCTGTGGCTGTTCCTTGAGTGGGGTCTTGCTTACTTGATTGTTGGCCGGCATAGTCTATAGATGTTGTCAATGTCTATGTGTTTATTGATGACTGATTTGTCAGAGTGCCAGGATTTCTAGAAGTTCCCTGGCAGTTCTAGAAGCCTCGACTTATGACCACAAATGAGAACATTTCCCTTGTTAAGCAAGGCAGTTGTCTTTTTCTCCTTATCCGTTAAGATTTTTAAGACAGTTCCTAGTTTTAGAATAGAATAGAATAGAATGGAATAGAATAGAATAGAATAGAATTATGGGATAGAATAGAATAGAACAGATTTAGAATAGAATAGAATTATGGGATAGGATAGAATAGAATAGAACAGATTTAGAATAGAATAGAATTATGGGATAGAATAGAATAGAATAGGATAGAATATAGAATAGGATAGAATAGAATAGAATAGAATAGAATAAGGAAAAAGAATAGAATAGAATAGAATAGAATAGAATAAGAAAAAAATAGAATAGAAAAAGGAATAGAATAGAATAGAATAGAATTAGAATAGAATAGAATAGAATAGATATAGGAATATAGAATAGAATAGAATAGAATAGAATAGAATAGAATAGAATAGAATAGAATAGAATAGAATAGAATTATGGGATAGAATAGAATAGAATAGAATTATGGGATAGAATAGAATAGAATAGAAAATATGGAATGGAATAGAAGAATAGAATAGAATAGAATAGAATAGAATAGAATAGAATAGAATAGAATAGAATAGAATAGAATAGAATTATGGGATAGAATAGAATAGGATAGAATAGAATAGAATAGAATTATGGGATAGAATAGAATAGAATAGAATTATGGGATAGAATAGAATAGAATTATGGGATAGAATAGAATAGAATAGAATTATGGGATAGAATAGAATAGAATTATGGGATAGAATAGAATAGAATAGAATTATGGGATAGAATAGAATAGAATAGAATAGAATAGAATAGAATAGAATAGAATAGAATAGAAGCTGGAAGGGACCTTGGAGGTCTTCTAGTCCAGTCCCCTGCTCAAGCAGGAAACACTATACCATTTCAGACAAGTGACTGTCTAGTCTCTTCTTAAAAAGCTCCAGTGATGGAGCGCCAAGGATTTCTGGTGGCAAGCTGTTCCACGGGTTAATTGTCCTCACTGTCAGGAAGTTTCTCCTTAATTCCAGGTTGCTCCTCTCTTTGATCAGTTTCCAACCATTGTTTCTCTTCTTTCCCTCTGGTGATTTTTTGAAAATGAAGTGAGGTGGGGGGGGACGCGTTCTGGTGTCAATCAAGCCAGGAGACGGTCACAGCAGCTTCTCTACTTGGGAGACCCCTCCAGTCTTAGCAGCCCTCACCCCCCCACACACAGACCTGCCTGGGGGTCCTGGGCAAGGCCATCTCCCTCCCTTGGCTGCCCACTCCTCCCAGGAGACGGAGAGTGCCAGGAACAGAGACAAAGGGGGCTTTGTGTGGTTGTTGCCATGCCCAGCGCTGTCCCTGGCAAGGAGAGCTGCGAAGGGGTCCTGCCAGGGGAGGGCATGGGGGGGGAGTGCCTCCTTGTGAGTGGCAACTCGGCTCTTTTTTGCAACCGGAGAAATCAAATGGTGGCATCTTTGGAAAGAGGAGGGAGGAGGGGGAGGAGGGGAA